TTTATACATTTTTATTCTTCTCCCTTTCTCTTTCATCATACACACATTGTCGTATATCTTTGTCTCCGAAGGATCCTACCCAAAATACAATATATCTCTTTCGGTTTCCCTCTTCATCTCATACGTTTTTTCACTCTCGCCTCTTCCTGCCTTTCGCTATGCCTCGTTTTTTAAAACTGGCGGGCCGCTTTCATGGCACTCCTTTTACGGCCGAATTTGTAACTTTAAATTGACGGGCTCGCGCGCCGCGCCGCGATGCTTCGACGTCGGTCGCCCTTTAGCGCGGCTCGCGCACCGTGAAATTTCGTGGTCTTTTTTATTGTCCGCTTTACGACGCCCGTTACGCAGCCAAAAAAAAAAAAAAACTGAGAGAATGAGAGAGGGGAAAGAAAGATGATGGAAGCTTCCCCCAATCGCCATTAAGACGATCATCATTGAAGCCCCCGCGAAATTTAGAACTGCCAAATATCGGGAAGCGTCGATCATTAATCGCATGTATTTTATTGTGTGTTACATGCTCTCTTTTCTTTTATCTAAAATAATTACGGAAACTTTCGGATAAATTATTACATATAAAATTATACTTTTATACGACTTCCGATTATGTTTTATTATATGCTAATGTATCGTAATATTACTGGCTATAATAATAGTCAAGGCGCCGTTTATAGTGGTAATCTACCATGTGGTATCATGTGATCGCATTAAATATAGGAAACTTTTGATATAATTTCATCAAACGGGCAAGTGTATTCTTCAAAGTGCTTGAAAAGATTGATCGGAGAAATTATGAAAAATTATATTTAATAAAAAGATTATATCTAAATAATATATAAATAACATTTTCACGTTATGTTTCTTTCAAGAATCTCATTAAAAGAAGAATTTGTACTCCTTTATCTTGAGTATTTGTTTGAAATATTAGTTTAAAAAAATACTCTTTCGGCTTTTGTGCCAAAGGACGTTGATGAAGGACTGTGTAATGCGATTCGCGCGCAAAACAGCGTGTTTCCTCGAGACGTTATTTGCGCGGTGCAAATCAGCCTGTTCAATTAAAATTCCTTGCCCACGGCTGTCAGGCGATCTCCTAACGCACGTAACATCTTCATCCCGCGATCGTTACGCTGACGCATAACGAACCACGTACATAACATCCCGACAGCGGCGTCTGTCCTCCCTCCTTGACCCCCACTTCCTGGCCGATCCTCCCTCGACCACTGAGTTGGGCGTAATTAAAGATAGTGTGAAGAAACCGCGGTCCGTCGTAACATCCGCAAAAACTTTGTCCACGGACTAATTATAAGATTATAACGCGAGGATACGCGTGAGGACGAAACTTTAAAGGACAATTTCTTTGGCAGAATTTAAACATTGTTTATGATTATTATTACGTTAAGAATACACATTAAAAATAAAAGGAATAAAGAAAATTAAATATTAAATTTTTGTAATAATTAAAATTTTTAACATTCATATCAAAAGTTGAGTTATTTATATATATATATA